AAAAAAAAAAAGAGGAAGGAAACGTACATTCTACTCGCCACCAGAAAGCGTGGGGAGAGATCAAGCCTCTGCTGTAGGAGGAAGCTGTCCTATAAATGGCGGGAGCCTACCTGCACCGTCCAAGTTTCTCACGCCCACGACTCTCTTTCGTCAGTTTTCACACTTAATTAACCCCTTCAAAACCCTCCAATCTCCAAAGTTCAATCCCAAATCTGGTGCCTTAGCTTTCCCTTTTATCCCCTTAATTGCACATCGACTACCCTTCTTGTGGATTTTGCAATTCTAGGGTTTATTTCGGTCTTCTGAGAAAACCCTAGTTCATTTCTTTTTGGCTGTCTGGCTTTTTGCTGATACAGGAATAGAGAAGTTGGAGCAGTTCCGGAGTTCTGATTCAATGGAGGTTGTGGCTGGCGGTGCCGCCACTCGCGGAGGTTCGTTGCCTACGGCGTCATCAGCGAGGAAGGAATGGCGCCCCGTTTCGGAGCATCGCCCTGTCCGAAATGCTGGGGACGAGGTGGTAATCTACAGCGAAATGTTTGCATTAGGTTTCTTTGGTTGATGAGATAATATCGAGAATGGGGAGAAATGGGTGCTTAGAATCTGAGGCTTAGAGTGAGGGAAAGTGAAAACTTAGGCAGGATGTATATAACGCAAAATTTGTGGTTTCATTAGTTTTATGCTAATCGAGGGAAAATTAGGGTTTATCTTTTCTTTTGCTAGTATAACTGATTACCTAGTTGGGGTTGAGTTTAATTGCATCGAGTGGGTATTTGTTCACGCTAATGGCTCGATAAACAAGTAAATATTTTGTCCACTTTGGCAATTCTTGTCCTTCATTTTGTTACTGAAGCTTCAGATTGTAGAATGTATTTATCTTTGAGGGTTTGAATTGTTCATCCTTGAGTTGAGGCCTTTATAAATTGTTTTGTCTTAGCTTTGTCGAGTAAAGGCTAACTCTAGGATTAGGATGTATTGATTAAGCCTTCAGAACTTAGATTTCTCATAATTTAACGTGGTTTCTCATCAGCAGAGCATTGGTTTTTGCTATCATCTGATCTGTTCTTCTGAAGTGTAGGAATTAGAACGGTCAAAGTTGGGGCAATCTGATGAGAGAACAATATATGAGGTAAGGATTTTGGTCTTGAAAATATATTCTAGTTTAAGTAATTGATTGAAAGTGAATGTGTATGGGTGTCTATCAAGGTGCAGCATGGAAGAGAGCCTGCAGATGTTGACTTTTGTTCTATTACAATGGATGGGACCTTAGAAAATGACATATTACAACAGCGGCTTAACAGTGTCATTAGACAAAGGGAGGAGCTGCAAAATGTGGAAATTGAACTTAGAGCTCAAGCAATTGCCAGATCAGAGATCATGGAAATGCAAAGCAGATTTGATGCTCAAATCAAAGAACATGCTAATACTGCTGCTAAGCATGAGGTTGGAGTTCAGAATAATTTCTTAATTGTACTCATTTTTGCTGGGAATTCAACTTTTGCAGATGAAATAACAACATTAAGATTTAAGAAATTAATGCAATTATGTTTTCAAGTAAATATTGAAACCTGTTGTTGTGTTGTGTAAGTTGAATGCTAGAACTTGGTCTCCATCCTTTCACAAGTTGGAGTTACCTTTTATGCTGATTTTACTGACTTCCTGTTGAAATGTGTTTATTTGCTTGAGCAGGAACAACTTCATGAAAGGGAACAGTCTATACTTGAACTAGAAAGGAAAATAGAAGAGAAAGACAGAGAGCTAAATGCAATCAAGTTGGAAAAAGAAGCGGTTTGTTTATTTGTTTATCAAGCTTTTCTTTCCTACCAAGTAATGTTATTTTCTGAAGCTGTTTGCATTAGCCTTCCTTACATTTTTCGGCAGGCCTGGGCAAAAGAAGATCTCCTCAGAGAGCAAAATAAGGAACTTGCAACTTTTAGGTTAGTATGTCTGTCTTTGGTAATATTTTTTCCCCTTGATACTTAATCCAAGCATGAAAGTACACCTTGTATAATCAATATAAATCAGCTTTGCTCAGAAGGACATGTAGGAAGTCACACATTCCTGCTTAATCTTGTCTAAGATTGATTCAAATTGTATTAGGGACTTTATTTATTTATTTTTTCCTGAATGAGACAAATATATAAAAAGTGAATTTTTGATGGGGTCATAACTTCTAAGTCCAACTGGCCACCCCATGAGTTCGAACCTTAATAAAATCAGATGGATTATCTGTTTTGCAGAAGAGAGCGTGATCATTCTGAAGCTGAAAGGGCTCAGCATATAAAACAAATACATGATCTTCAAGAGCACATTCAAGAGAAGGAGAGACAACTTATTGAGTTGCAGGATGAGGTTTGTGCTTTTGTTTTCTTTAAAAGTGATCTTCACTTATTTTATTGAAGATGTTAAGGCATAACATTTTTGTTGTGTGGCTGTTATTTACCTTTGAGTTATAAAGTCACTTTGTGAATTTAATCCATGAGGAAAAAATATGTATTTTCTTTCTCAAGGCATGGTAACCATGTGATGATGTGTCGCATTTAGTGAGGAATTTCATTTAGTAGAAAGTCACCATTAATCATGTGATAGGTGCTGCACTCTAATAGTAGTCTTATGGTGCAGTATAGGACTGCTAAAGACACCATTCTTTACAAGGATGACCAATTGAGGGAGGCCCAAGCTTGGATTGCACGTGCACAAGAGATGGATGTCTTGCAATCAAGTACAAATCAGTCACTACAGGCTGAATTGCGAGAACGGATAGAGCAATATAACCAGCTCTGGCATGGTTGTCAGAGACAGGTTAGTTAACCTCTGGTTTTTAGTTTTTCTCTCATTTTTGTTCAATAAAAAGGGAGTGGATCATTTATTCAATAAATTTGAATTGACTTTTTTTTTTTTTTCTGGCAATTGGTGGTAGTTTGCAGAGATGGAAAGACTTCATTTGCATACAGTACAGCAGCTTCAACTTGAGCTGGCAGATGCAAGGAGTGGCAGGTATGCTGATGAATCACGCGTGTCCCAAACAAATTCGAAAGATGCATCACAGTTTGGTCAAAATAGTGGAAACCAAGTTGATGCAAATGGAGCTGCTGCTACAAATACCAATGGTGGGATCATTCCAAATGGTACTTCTGACAATGTTCAAAATTTTGCTACTGGTAGTAATGCATCAGTTCAGGTACACAATGGTAGCAACTCTCTTTAAAATTTTTCCTCCTTTAAGGATTTATCATTCTTTTAAGATTGTTTGTTGCTTTGGTCAACTTCATATTTGCACCTCTATCCTATGGTGGTCATAAGAACCAGGCCACAGCATGGCTGGTCAACTGTTGGGCACCCTGCTGACCTGGATTATATTTCTCCCATCCCCAATCGTCCTCTCCCAAAAATTGCAAGTATAAAAGAAGTGAGCATAGTGAATACCTTTGTTAAGATGTTTATATACTAAACAAAATAATAATATATTGCCACAATCTTCAGTTTTATGGAATATATTGAATGTACATGCCCACACTCTTCTGTGTCTGCTACTCTCATAGTTTGAAGATTTGGAGCATTTACACTAGTTTAAATTTTGCAACAGTAACTTGTGGGTTTAATTTTTACAACAGTAACTTGTGGGTTTAATTTTTACTTACCCTATTTTTAATATTGCTTAAATTGGTAGAACGACCATGTTCAAAGTGTTCCAATTGCCCCATCATCTATACTTGGGATGCATACCTACCTCCCACCTGGACAAGTGACTGCTTTGCCTCCATTTGTGATGCATCAACAAGGGGTTCCCCAATCCATGCCATCACATATTCCTCCATCCCATGTTGGGCATTTTCACTCAATCGCAGCAATGTCGTCCATACACCAGTGGCAGAACCATCCGGTAATGTGGATGAAAGCATTACCACATTTTTCTCATGGCTGCTAATTGTTTTACTTATGGGGTGTGGTGGTTTTCCATCTTGTTCAGACTGCAGCAGATGGTTCACGGTTATCTGTACATAATCAACTTCCAGAATCCCAAAATGATGAAAGCCTTGTGAGGTCAGATGGAAAGTATGAGTATGAAATATCTGTTAATGGGCAAGCTGTTCAGCCAGAGTATCTGGATCAAGTAAGCCAAGCACCTGAAACAAGTTCTGTTGTAACAACATCAACTGGGATACCACAGGTTCTCTACTCTCTGATGATTCTGTTCACATTGATTGATGCAGTGCTACATTTTGATCCACTAGATTATTCCTTTGCAGGTCCTTGAACCTGTCAATTCAAGTTACCTTGTTGCTGCCCATCCTGAGCAGAGCATGCAACAAATTTCTTCTCAATTTCAAGAGGCATTGAGATTGAGCCCTCATGAACAGAGTATTGAGTCCGAGGTAGATTATTATTTCACTTTCATTTGTCTGAACTGGATCAATCTCCCATGGGATCAGTTTGGTTACTCTAAGTAACTGGTTAATAACTATATACCGAATGTTGTTGCAATTTGAACTGGCCCAGGAACAGAACATTCTGAACTTGAATGGTCATGGACTGGAGAACCAAGTTTTAAAAGCAGAACAAGCAAATTCTGCTGCCAGTGTATCCCCACCTGATACTTCAGAGCATTCTTTTAATGCCAGTGAAACCTCAATCAACAATGGCACTGGTCTAGCGTTGCCTGATAATTTAGTCTCAACAGGGCAGGTGAATACAGTAATTGCAGGAAAGACTTCAGATATTGCCCTGCTTGATGAACGGTCACTGTTGGCTTGTATAGTTCGCACCATACCAGCTGGTGGCAGAATTCGGATCGGTTCAACAGTTAGTTGTTTGTGAATAATCACTTATTTGTTCACTCTTAGCTGGTATGGAGTTTATCATGACATTATCTGTTTTATATCTATTTCAACTGCAGCTACCCAACAGGCTGGGCAAGATGCTTTCTCCTCTGCACTGGCATGACTACAAGAAAAAATTTGGGAAGCTGGATGACTTTGTAGCCAGTCACCCGGAGGTGAGTTTTTTTGTACTTATGACCATACATTTTTCAAGTGTATTTGTATTATATTTTCTGAATGATGTCAATTTATTACTTCAGTTGTTTGTGATTGAGGGGGATTATATTCAGCTTCAGGAGGGAGCACAGGGAATGATAGCAGCTACAGCTGCTGCTGCCAAAGTTGCTGCAGCAGCTGCAGCAACATCTCCTTGCTCCTCATTTTTGCCTTCAGTTGCTGTTACTCCAATGGCACAGCCTCACCGACTGAAAAAGTTACCATCAGTTGGTTCCAACCATGTGAAGAATGATAATGCTGTTTTCAGGGAATATGCGGTCATCACAACAAATTCAGCTGATGCTTCACATCTCTCAGTAAGGCAGAATCAAGCTCCTAATGGTGTTTGTTTTGGTGTGGCCAGAGGTCTCTCAAATGTGAAAATTTCGAGCAAATCTAAAGATTCTGAACTTAATGGTGCAAACTTTGACCAATCAAGTGTGACTAGTACTGAAAGCAGGGGCTCAACTCATGGAAGGTCTAATGCAGGATTTGTGGGGAAGCAGCAAGGCAGGTATGTGGTTTAAACTTAGTTTTCCACTTATATGTATGTGGATGTATCTGTTCCTGCTACTGAAGAAAAATGCTCCGTTTGATTGGTATATATTGAATGTGGAGCTCATTGAGACTGGTTTTTTTGTAGCAGGTCAACTGGGGCAGCCATAACTTCCAGAAGATAGTGAGTGCACTTTGCTTTTGAAATATTTTTTGGTTTTTATTTTAAATCTCCCTTTGATATGCATATAGTTTTCTGGGTTATGTATTTCTTTAGCTAGTGGTCTCTGTTCCACCCAGATGGTCTTGTAGAATGTAGAGTCAACAATATGATACATGAGCTTTTTCCGTTTGGATTGTTATGGATTTAGCTATTATACTTATTATTATGTCTATGATCAGAAACATGTTTAGAATAGTATAAAGTTCTCACAGATCTCAGGAATCTTGAAGTCTTTAATAATGAATGAGTGGGTCTAGTAACTTTCCTATCTATCATTTTGGTTTGCAGGAAAACTCTAAATCACAATGATGGTTCCGAGATTTGCATTGATGGTGTTTGAGAATAGAGAATATCTGGGAACTGATATGCTGCAGTATGTTATTCATCTGAAGTGAATCATCAGCAATCTTTTGCATCTGATAAGTTCCCTAATGGCAATTAAAAACTGATATTTTTAAATTGCTTTGAATCTTTTGGTCCCTTGTTTTGGTGGGGAAAAAAAAGAAACAGAACTTGATTTTATTGTGTTCTTATTATGCATTATTTAAGATGTTATTTTATTGCTTAACTTCTTTCAGTGATATATCCATGAATTGGATGCCATTTTATATCAGTATCCTCCATTTTATCTCATCCCTGCATCAGATGTCTATTATCATACTGGTTTCAAGAGTGGTCAAACTGAAAAATGAGCTCAGCAGCTTAGATATTATCTGGTTGAATACTTGAATGTGTCAGCATTACATCCTTATAAGTCTTGGAGAGATTAGTAGAAGAAAAACACTCTATGTTCAGGTCTCCTTTGCTGATACTTTAGAACAGACCTAAACTCACTTTCGGAGGTGGGTTTTTTTTTTTTTTTTTTTAAAGGAAAAAAAAAAAAAAGAAAAAAAGAAAAAGGGGGCGTACGAGTTTTGGATTGAGTTCACGAGCTCCGGTTGCAATATGCTCAGCCCAGTTAGTACTATCTGAGTTTAATAAATCTCGAAATGTTATTCTAGAAAAGAAATGTGAGTGTTGTCTATCTTCTCCAAATCTAAATGAATCTATGCCCTCGGAACGTTCCTCAACCGCCACTGGGTTCTAGAGTGTTCGTAAGCCACTGTGCGGCCGGCCCTGGCACCGTCACGTCGCTTTACTTTCTGGCCTAATTTCATCATCTCTCTCTCCTTCATGTGAGGTGATTTCCGTCCAATTTTGTTTCTTTTGCTTGTGTTCCCGACTTCGCTTGCGGCATCATTTTGTGGTTTTCCTTTGTTTCTCTGACCAGACCCGTTATTGGTGTGGCTTTCTTCAGGTTTCGTCTCTGGCGGTTAATTTAGTTCAGAATACCTTCTGCTTTGTGTCCGCAATTGTTTTCTGCTGTGGAGGAGTCGCCGGCCGGATTGGCCTTCTCAACCATTTGTTCAGACGGTCACCATGAGGATCTTGGGGTGGAATTGTCAGGGGTTAGGGCCTCCGTTGATGGTTAGAAATATAAAGTTATTATACTAAGGAAATAATGCTTATTGGCCTTAACTTTTAAAGATTATGGAGAAAATTATTTTAAAATTATGTCGTTTCAATAAATTTTTATTAAAAAAGATTGAACTATCTTATTTTTAAAGCATGTATTGAGGTGATTTTTGTCTTTTTTTCCTTTTAATTTTTTGAAAGTCAGGTGGACAAGTACTAACCCTTTATACTAATAACATGTCAATCAAAGTAGAAAAAGTTTGATTTCTTTTAAGTAAAGCCTCGAGTTTAAATATTAAAATGAATAAATATTGAAAGAATTTGTTTTTTTATGAGATCTAACTTGACTTTAACCCTGAATTTTCTAGATATTGAAATTTTAGTATATATATATATATATAGTCACTGTACTTGAAGCATGGACCTGATTTCGTCTTCTTGATGGAAACAAAGAACAAGACAGACTATGTGGATCGTTTGCGGCGGAGGTCAGGATATGACCTTCCGCCACGGTAAAAAGCTGGGGGATTGGCATGACGGTGGAAGGCTGAGTTACGGGCTCAGATCTTCTATTGTACAGAAAATTAATTTGATGGCTGCTGTCTTGGGCCCTCCTGTTCTAGGGAGTGGCATTTCACTTTTATATGTGGGTGTCCTTTCAAAGGTGAAAGGGACAGAAGCAGATTGTGGGATGAATGTCGTAGCTCACGCAGAAATCTGAGCATAACGTAGATTATCTTGGGAGATTTTAATGCAATTTTGAGCTATAGCGATAGCAAGGGCAAAGGTATTACTCAAGCCTCTTCCTTTCGTTTTTTGGAGCAATATGTCTTTTTGTTGCTTGCAAGAGGTTGGTTTCAAAGGCAGCCCTTTTACTTGGATAAATAATAGATTGGGTTCTACCATTCTCAACAACGCCTTGATAGGGCATTAGCTAACTCGGCCTGGATGAACTGTTATCCTCATGCCCACTTATTGCATGAACTCAGGGTGGGTCCTGATCATCGGCCGCCGGTTTTGTGCTCTAATGTCTTCCCATAGCCCCCACAGAAGTTGTTTCGTTATGAAATCAAATGGTGCTTAGAGCAGTGTAATGAGGAGTGTTCATAATGGATAAGTTTCCTATGCCTCTCGTTCAGATCGATTTTAAGTTCCTGTTAGAATAAAGCAATGTCGGTCTTGTTAGACTATACTTATCAGCATGCCTCTTCTCAATGCAAACATGTATGGCATCTGCCTCAGTTTGTTGAAAACTTGAATTCGCAATCAAAATGGCACTGAGAATAATTGGAAAATTTGGAAGAAAACAAAACAACCAACAATAACCAACAAATAGGGAAAACTGAAACTAAGTAACATATATGTGTTTACATCATAATTAATAAATTTTTAAGATGATGTCACATTTATATAAAGATTGAATGGGCATAAGTTTTCCACAATTAATTAAAAAATATTTGGATGTAATATAGTGTATATATTGGAGTTTGTTTTTAATATTTTTATCCATTGATACAGATTTTTTTTTTTTTAATTTTTTGAGCTCAACAGAACTTGTTTCATTAAAACATAGCCATACGGCATCTACATGAAGGATTTCAATCTCAGTGATAAGAACACATGATAGATTAAAGAAAATCCAACTAGAGGTAGCAATCAGAGTAGATTAAGTTTATCAAAGAACAAATATAAAAAAAGACAATGAAAATCACATGAACAATCTCTAAAGAATCTAATATTTATAAATTCTTTTGGTTGACTATTTCAGAAGCTGGATGTCCTTCAATCTACTCTTGAAGATGAGCTCGGTCTCCAAGATGCCAGGGCAAGAAAATCAACGGCCACCCCTAATTTCTGCATAGTTGGCTTGTTGGCAATAAGATAAGAGGAAACAAACAAAGAAAACAAGAAAATAGTAAAGAAAGAAACAAAAAGACCACCAGAGAGGCCCCAAAAGAAAACCAACAGACCACTCAAGATGGTCATCGAACACCGGAGCACGACAAGTTGGCTCCGCTATGCATGAGAAGCCAGAGG